TTTATTTTGAGGCTGGGTTTCCTCTAACTCAGAGACCTACATGCCTCTGCCTCCCAAGTGGTGGGATTAAGGGCATGCATATTTTTTACTATGCACTCTCTAACTCAATTATACTCACTTTAAAGTAGTCTTACATTCTGTAATGGTTTAATTTTTATTTTTAAGACATTTATTTCTTCTTAGTTGTGGTTATTTTCTTTATTTTTGGTGACCTTTTATTATATATCTACATTTTCATTTGAGAATTCATATTAAATAGCATTTACCTTTTTAAGGCCAATTTTAAACTTTTCTATGACCATGCCTAATACATTTGTAATTCTGAGAAAGGCAAATCTTCTATCTAATACTTACTCAGCCTTAGTATGTTATAAGCATGGCACATGGCTGAAGAAAATACACTGCAATTTGAAATGTTTGATGATTTTTCTTTATCTTCCAAAGGAAGAATGGTTTCATAGTTTTGATTTCTTCCCACAGAAAATAACTAGGCAAATCTTCAAGTAGTAACACTTTTGCTGTATCATTTCAGGGATCAGTACAAATGGGTTTATTTTCAATTCTTTATTCCAAAGAGTTGGAAGAATTCAAGTGACAACCAGAGAGAAAGGGCAATAAACCAGAATATGCACTTAAGATGAGGCAGAGGGAGAAGACCAACAAGCTTGGTGTGTACAGGGCTCTCAGCAGTCTGTACCACGCTAGTTCTCTGTCCATGTTTGACCACACATGGGAAAGTGTGTTATTTCTCACCATCTTACTCTCTCTCAGTCCTTCTCATACTGGTTACTTTGATGAGTTTACACTTTTATTGTTTATTACTATATGATTTCAACACACACACACACACACACACACACACACACAGAGAAAGAGAGAGAGAGAGAGAGAGAGAGAGAGAGAGAGAGAGAGAGAGAGAGAGAGAGAGAGAGGGTGAGAGAGAGAGAGAGAATGAACGGGTAAATGAGTTAGCATGAAGCCTTTATGTTAAACACAAAAAATATTCACCAGATACTCACCAACCTGTTAGTAACATTTTATTCTTCAGCTAATACTGCACACTAAGCTTTATTCTATGAAACAAGAAGAAAAGTAGATTCTATTCAGCTTTTACAAAATTTTGAAGTTTTGCATTCTATCTTTTATTGTTATCTCTACCTGTCTCAATTTTTTGTCTATGTAACAAGGTAAAAGAGCCTCATGGATAACAAATTACCTTACAGACTTTTATTATATTTCACCTTTTCCTGCTTTACCTAAAGCACTGCATCTTTCCTCTGATCTTTATTTACTTATGCTACTTTTTCTTATCTTTACACAAATCCCAAACAAAAGAAAAGAATATTATAATTTTTATAGGTTAAATATGTCTTGATATTTCAAAGGTAAATTTACCCCAAATCTCCCGCCCAATTTTTTGTCATCCAATCTTGTTTTGGCCTGAGCCATTAGGCCAAACAGTTTAAATGATATAAGCATCTGAGTGATTATTTTGTAAGTGGGCTGTGGAACTGCAGGGCTTGACGGGACCAGGAGAGAAACTCTCCAGCTACATTTGACCCCCTACTCTTGCGTTTGACCTCTTACTCTTGTGAATTTTAGAACTGGATTCTCAATTTCCATTTGATTGTAAGGATTTTTATTCAAATTCTTTGCACTTTTTAAGCCTAGATAAAATGCTACAATTCTGAGTTCTCACACTTCTCCTCTCCTATTTTCTTTAGCTTTTTCAAGTCCATTTGGGATTTTTGAAGTTATTGTAATGCATTCATTTTTCTTAGGTTTCCTTGTTGTTGTCTATCTAGAGAAATACCCAAAATGCATGTGAATGTTTTGTGAATTTTTTAAAATTATCTTTATTTTAACTTGGATGCTAATCTTTAGGGGACTTCCATTTTCTTCTAAGAGGCTCATCAGAAGGAAATAGAAGAGTGTCAATGTCCTGCAGGGCTTCTGAAGCAGCATTTCTTTTTAATTGGGTTGAGCTCTGAAGGGAGAAAGGTGTTGGGAAGAAACAAGCAACTTCACAAGAGAAGAAAGTGTTGGGTTTTTCAGGCCGTGAGGAAAAAACATCCCCAAAGCATCTGGATCAATTATTAACTTATTTCTTTTTAGTTTTAAGATTTATTTATTTCACAGTTCCAAGACAACTTACAAACTCTATATATTCAGTGCAACATATCTGTTTTTAAATTAGTAAAGTGTGAATAGGGGAGATTAAATTTAGACTCCTAAGACATCAGGGAGAAAGCAATGTATCAAAATGCAGGTCATTAACATCTTGCATAATGATTAAAGCTAAACTGTATATATAATTCTAACATGCCCAGTGACCAAAATAAGTAGGGGGAATGAATGGGTTTTAGGATTCCTATTGTTATCAAGATGCAAACTACTCAGGAAACCAGACAATTTCCAAAGTGTTAAGGTCTGAAAAACTGTTTTCACAGAGACCCTCCTCATACATAATATACTGAGATAAATTAGGGTGCATCTTCAGTAACTTCTCAATAACAAATAGTAGCTATCATAAGCAATGTCATAATAAAACATTATTTTTATATAATTGATACATATTAATACAAATGAAAAAATAGCATCCCATGATTTCTTATAGTGTGCTTTTATCTAATCAGAAAGTATAATCTTAAAGCAAAATCCAGTGGGGTTTGTCTGGCAGAAGCATGCTTAACACTAGAATGAAAATATCCAAACTCATCTCTTGACTCGAGATTAAAGTCTTGGATCTTAAGTAGAGCTTGCTAATGCAAGCTCTTTCTAGCAAACAAAACAAAACACGAAGACACCTTGGGGTTTATAACCAACTAGAAAATGCATATTCTAGTGACTGCTGTACAAGTGAAATGAACACCCGCAGTGAATACCCAACCAAATGTTTTTCTGACTTGAATATGTTCGCAGCCTCCACAGGTGAGACGGGACCTTGAACACTGTTTTCTTGATGGCTGCCTCATCTGCTCCTCCCATGATGTCTAGCATCTACTAAACATTCAATAAACATTTTAGGAATAAATGCATGAGAAAATGGAAAGCTGTAAGTGGCTTATTTTGTATAGGGTGGTTTGTGCATAGTTGTGCAGCACAAAGAGATTTCCGTGTTTCAGCGGGGCCCTGAAATGTGAACAGATCTTCTCTTTTACCCATTAGAAGCAGACCTGCATGTATTGGAAAAGCAAGTTGTTACCCACTCAAGCAAACTAAAGAATACTTAGCAATGAGGCTTGAGGATTTTGCGGCTCTCAGATCTAATATGAAATTAATGTTATTGTTTTTTTTTTCTTTTTGAGTATGTTAAATTCAGTACACGTTGAAATGTTTATACAATTCTTTAAGGAACATTCATTCATATGTACCTAGTTCATGACTCTTTTTTTTTTTTTTTTTTTTTTTTTTTGGTTTTTTCGAGACAGGGTTTCTCTGTGTAGCTTTGCGCCTTTCCTGGAACTCGCTTTGGAGACCAGGATGGCCTCGAACTCACAGAGATCCGCCTGGCTCTGCCTCCCGAGTGCTGGGATTAAAGGCTTGCGCCACCACCGCCCGGCTATAGTTCATGACTCTTGTGATCTCTTGATGTCTCTATTATGCTTCAGAAAGCCTATGACTGCCTGTCACTTCTCACCAAGCTAAAGAGTTTCTTACTTAATTTCCTTCTGCAATAGCCTCCTTCTCTTCTTGTTTTCCTTATCTAATTCTTGCATTTACGGTCTGTGCTTTATAGTGTGGAGAGTAATAAAACCCAGGTTTCTAGCTTGAAAGGCAGATTTCACTACTTATTTGCAGCTTGACATTAACTACTGGTTTCCGTAGTCTAAAACATTCTCCACATTATCTCTGCTGATGAATTGCTGTATGGTTTGAATGAGATAACCTGTGTTGTGTGCACAAGAACAATGGTACAGCAAGTAGTGAATGTCAATCTTACTTGTCATAACTATTCTGCCAGAATATTTTATCTAAAACCTAAATCCAACCCTGTTCATCCTTGCTCAAGTGTTCAGTGCTTTCCAGAAGTCTAAATGATCTCCTCAACTTTCTTTCACATTCCTGTCACCCACTATCACATCTTCCTTCCCTCCCTTTATCATGGACCTCTTCTGCATTCAACTTCACAAGTCGGTTGTCTAGTCTCCAAGAGTTGGTCCACATTGTTTTCCCTCAAGAAGGATCCCCCTACCTGCTCTGGCAAAGAGCATAGTCTTCCCACTATTTTTTCCTCCTCTGAAATAATTTCTAATGCCTCTTGGTATAATAATAACTCTTCAGTCTACACAGACTATATAAAGATGCACTATTTTTTTGCTTATGTTTATAAGTATTTTGTGAATTTCTCTAGGCCAGAGACCCTCTCAAGCTAGCTCCAAGTCTCAGAATTCCTAGTATACAATGAAATTGCCATTTGACAAAGGAACTTGATAGACGCCATTTAACAAAGGAACATGAGCCTAGCCCCGAGTCTCCAACCGCCTAACATGTTTGGTGATATTTATTGAATTGCATTTATCAACCTCCCTTTATTTCAAAGGAGATTGACTGCTCCAGAGCTCCTTCCTACTGCCTGTGGCGGGTTAGACCTGAAATGTTCTGTTTAGGGATTACCAACAGGAGCTAGCACACAGGCAGTTATAAGCAAGAAGCATTGCCTACTGAAAACTACAAGAATTGCCAACAAAGGTCCTAGAAAAAGGATTTTCTGCCAGAGTTGCCCCATCCTTGTTTCCTTCACTTCCCAATCTACCGATAGAGAGGAGGCGGAAAAGGTAAAAAGTACATTGAAAAGTTGGCCGGTTCGCCCTCTCCTCCTAACCCAGAGAAACACTACACCGAGCTTGGTGCCCTCTGACTTGCCTCAGAAGAGGACAAGATTCACAGCTTCCCAAACCTGCCCTGAGTTCCTCTTTTTTTTCCCCCAACCCATTTTCCGGTTGTCGCTGCCCACTCCCCATCCCCCGGCATCCTCCCCACCTCTTCTACAAGCAACCGGAGAACCACCTCCAGACTTTTTGTTCTAGGACCTCCGTGATTATCAACAAAAGATGCCAATCAGACAGCCTTAGCCAAATGACTGAAAGCCCAGTTAAAAAAGAAAAGAAAGAAAAATCAGGTTTAAGACACAAGAAAAAGGAACGCAGCAAACCACAGCGCAGGAAAACTGGGCGCACACAGGCACGTAGGCTCCCCTGCATGGAAACAGCAGGTTGTAACCGACTACCCGGAGAACGCGGAGCACCCCAGACAGGAACTTTAAAAGGATTGAAATCTGTTGCCTGTTCCACTAGGAATATTGTTTGCAAGGCACAAGGTGTCTTTTGGTAGTGAGTACCCTGTGCGCATGCGCAGGTCCATTCGGGAATTACTGCCCAGCCGCCGACTAAGTTGCATTCCTTGAATCTTCGCAGAAAAGACAATTCTTTCATCAGAGTTAGTAATGTGGACAGTACAAAACCGAGAGAGTTTGGGGCTTCTTTCTTTTCCCGTGATGGTTGCCATGGTTTGTTGTGCACACAGGTGAGCTGCCGTCTCCAATTTCTCTCTCTTTTTTTTTTCTTGATGTTTTTCTTTTTCTTTTCTTTTTTTTTTCCTTTTTTTTTTTTTTTGTGTTTGCTGGATCATGTATCTTGTTATTTGGGGGGTAGGTGTGCCTGGATCTTTTTATGTCTGTTGGCAGTTTGTGCTCATTCTGAACACAGCCCCTACTTCTTCCCTTCAGCTCCAATGAACCCAGCAACATGTCATACGTCAAAGAAACAGTGGACCGACTGCTCAAAGGATATGACATCCGCTTGCGGCCGGACTTCGGAGGTAATGCTTCATCATTTTCCTTTCAACCTGTAACCCATCCCTAGTTCACCTTTCCGTCAGAAAGAATGCCCCCTTCCCCATTTCCTCATTTCTGTAAACGTGCAGTACTACGCCCTGGACACACACACACACACACACACACACACACACACACACACACACACACACACACACTCAGGATCCCCAGTCTCAGGTGGACATATCCTCAGGCTGAGCTGTCCCTCTCCTTAACTCGACACACCCTCTGCACTGTCACTGCATCACGCGTGTGCCCACACCTGTTTTTCCAGGCTGTTCCCTACAACAGGGATGGGGGGGAGGGAGGGAGCCTGCTTAGACTGTAATAAGATTTGGGAAGCCCCTATGTCCCCCTCAGCCCCCTGCCACTCAACGACTGTCTTTGCTGTGGTCCCACCTCCCCGGCAGGGCCCCCGGTGGACGTCGGGATGCGGATCGATGTCGCCAGCATAGACATGGTCTCGGAAGTGAACATGGTGAGTGGCCTCCCCACTGCTCGGCGGCCCGCCGAGCTTACGCAGATGCGAAATGGACCCGTTCTGTGTCCTCTGCTTTTCATTGGTGGTCAGCCTCGGCCCTGGTCCCCAGGGTCCCACTCCAGCGCGTACGCCCCACTCCAGTACACACACTGTCCATCACCCCACAGTATGTATTTTCGACACACACGGGCTACTGCGGTGTTCCGAAGGAGACGTACTCCGCACTATTTTGGGAATGAAGAGGGACTGTTGCGCCGGGGCGGAGTCTGAGCCGTACTTTAGCCGGGTCTCCGGGAGTGTGGGGATATGCAGGGCACCATCTGCCGGCAGCCAGGTGGCCTGCACTGGGGTCCCCCAGACCAGAGGTTCGCAACCACAGCCAGGCCAGGCACAGTGCCCACAGTCTTCACAGATTCCCCCAGCCTGATAGTCCCAACCCACCTAGCTCCGCCACCAAGCTAGCTGGCAAAGCTCGCCAAGTGTCCCTTTCCTACTACAGAATCCAGCACAGTGTTGGGCAGGAGCAACAGGCTGAGATGAACAGTCCAGGATGAACAGCAGAATTGCCCAAGCTTGCTTCTGAGCATCTTAGATCCATGTGAGGGTGTATGCGTTTGTCTTTCTGCAGCTCTCAAGTTTTAAGTTGGAAGAGAATCAGTCGAATCACATGGCTTTGCTTTATTCTAGTAACCTAGGCAAGAGGAAAAGATCTGATGATTAAAAGGACTGAGGCAGGGGAGGGGTGGATTATAATAGTCATTCATTTTAAGGGATCTACATTTTACCATCCCTCTCTCCCTCCCTTTCTTCCTCCCTCCTTCCCTCTTTCCCTCCCTCCCTCTACGTATCATATTTTCATGTCTTTTCTCTGGGCTATGGTCGAAGGTATTGAAGTCACAGCTGCCACTTTGGCTTTGGTTGTTTCCCTGCACCCTGGGAAGCCGCTTTCTAGTTGCTAGAGTTCAGGGGAAAAGAAATGCCTGTTGCTTTTCTAGAGTCCACCACCCAGGGAACAAATAGATCTACAGGAACAAAATGTCGTTTTTATTCCACTCTGAAAAAATAAATACGGCAACAGAAATTTAGATAGACTGGGTAACTTAGGCTAGGCTCCTTTAGGATTTTCTCTGTAACAGCTATGGAATTGTTGTTCATTCCATTCCTAGCGGGCCATTTTTTTTATTGTACTATGCTGAGGTTTAAGAATTATCCTTTTCATCTTTTAGATTATGTCAGGAAGCTATAAATATGCTTTTCGATCATTCACTGGATGGTATAAGTATAAAATGTGTGGCTTTGGAGGCAGCGCTGTAACTCTCACTGTCTTAAGTGGCTTATTTAAAATACAACTTTATAATGTCTCAGATTGTTCCAAATAATATTTTACAAGTGTGTTTGACTACTACACTGAAAAAGAAATCCATCTTTTTCAAATTTGATAAATCAGTGGATTTTTTTTTTACTTAGCAGAGACTTAACAGACTAATATTCTGTTTACATGTGTGCTATTATCTAAAACAACTATTTACAAACATCCAGAGGAGCATGATAAGATGTGCACACATAAGAACAGTGGCCTATGACTGCAGATGCAGCTAGGTATATTAGCTTAACAATTAGTGTCAGTGCATTTGCATTATGATAACATTTTCCTGTTCAGTCATTTATCTGGCATCTTGTAAACATCTCCGTAGATCATTTATATATAAAGGATTCAGAAACCTCAGAAGGTAAATTGTGCCTCTGTCAGTGGTCTGTGTCACTGTAATAGGGTACTTAGTTTTCCAGAGCGACAAGGACTCCCAACATCAAATACAGACACACATACATGGGCATGCATGCATGTGCCCACACATGTCTATGTACATATTATTTTGCAATCTTTTAAAACTTAATTGAATATATAAGTTGCATAACCATAACAACCACCACAAGAAAAAACTCTGTCCGGTCAGTTGTTGAAATGGATTCATACACAAGCTGAGACGGATCACATGTAAAACGCAGCAGCATAGAGCACCTTCTCCTAATGACTGAATAATACAGTCTGCTTACTCACTGCTCTATGATACATGCACTTAGTATGTTTTTATAAATAGTCACTCAATAGATAAGCCTTTGATAATGCTCTTTACCGAAATACTCATCGCGCTTCTCTGTGACATCAGAGACATAGAAAAATGGCCCCACAAGCTGGAAAATAAGAAACCTTGCTTTGTGTCTTCTCTTCCTTTTAGTGAGAGTTATTGACGAGACTTGGGTATATTTTAGTGTCTCATCTCTGTCCAAGTGTTGAAATGAATTAATTACACTGGAAACAACTACAGACAATGGAAATATGGAGGGAGACAGTCTTTTGAAGGGTTAAGAGGGCAATATGTACAGAACAGGGATAGTTAGTCCTACCCATGACCTTTATCAAGAAGAGAATGCTCTGCAACATGCTTTGGACACTATAAGTAGGAATAAAGGTCTTTGGGAAATAAGACCTAGAGCTTGTTATTAAGCACTCTTCTGTAACGTGATGGGCAGTAACTTACATGTGATCATATGATAGGGAAATTTCTACAAATTGGAAACAAAATAAGAATTGACAATAAAATAACACAAGTAGTATTTAATGAAAATGTAAGTTAAGTGCCTTACTGCAACATTGCTAATTTTCACATTTTTAGTTAACTATTGTTATTACATATTCTGTGGCTGGGAACATGGCATGATGATTATGCATTAAATTAATGGGTTAGATAACTAGAGTTCTATTAATTTTTGTCCTTTTTTGCTAATCTAAGTAAAATATATTCCCAAATTGGTTTATAATATTGCCCATTTTAAGGCTAATTTCTTATCATGACTACTTTCTGACTAATGTCCTTCAGGATATGAAATGTGGTTCCAAAGTTAAGAAAAGAAATGGAAATTGTTATGTTAAAGAATATCTACCAGAAACCCTAAGATTCATCAATACATTACTGCGCACATTGGTACTTTTTTGTATCAATTACACATTAATTTAAGTAAAATTAAGAAAATTAGTTCATTAGTTCTGGGAAGTGAATTAAAAACCTTTAGAGAATAATTTTAATGTAGAAAGACATATATAACATATATGTATTTGTACATATATCTTATACATAATTGAAAGTAAGACTTCTTTACAATATTAATTATTATTGGTTCAAAAAGAAAGTTTCCTTTCTCATTATGGACTTTGTGGTGATGTGACAGTAACCACATAGTGTTATTATTTTCTAAAGTCTTATATAGAAAAATATCTCCCAGTTTCCATTTATTGTACTTTAAACACTCAGATCTTTTAATTTTACAATTTCCGTGGTGCTCTACACACACACACACACACTCACTCACAGTTCCATGGCTGACTAGAGCAGGAGGCAGGTAGAATGAAAGGAGGTAATGGCTCATAGCAATTACTCGTAAAATAACCACCACCACCATCTGCTCAGTAAAAGAGGCAGTAGCAGACAGAAGTTCTCTCCTTGAGTAGTATCTTGGAGAAACATGATGCAGACTGTAAACAACCAAGGAGCTAAGCTTTTCTATTCAGATGTCCACAACAAGCTGTCCTCTTGCAAGAGCCAGATGCAGTCATCAAGAAGCAATTCCAAATAGAGTTTTCTTTCCTTGAGCTGAAGATATGATGGTCTAAGTGTCCACATGTAGAAGACTATACATGTAGACCTCTGACTCAAACTGAGACACAGTACAAACCATTTCTAGTAAGAGGTAGCCTCGCTCCTGTCTTCACTGTTCTGCAAGTGCAGAGGTGAATGCTCTTATAGGATTCACAAATAATTTCAACAATGACAAGAAAAAGACATAGTTGTACAAATAATGCATAAAACAAATTAAACTGAACAGATATCCATCTATATTCCATATTGTTGCTATTTTAATATTAGATTCCATTGGTTCTTGGTACAACATCGAGCTATGTTTAATTGCCATCACCATGGTGACTCAAGACAAGAGCCACCTGTCAGAACTTTTCTGGGCAATAACCCTTCTTCCTCTTTGCCCCAGCTTCTTAACCTTAAAGGCATACCTTCCTCACCCTGAGGCTCACAAAATGCAAATTCCAAATCTCAGGTTTGGCAATGGGGTCTGATAGTTTGTATTTCTCCTGAAGGAAGTCAATTGCTGGTGTGCAGACTGCCCTTTGAATATCAACACTGAAGAACATTATTCTAATATTATCTTTAAAAGTGAACATTTTTTCTTTTTGATTTTCTCTAGTAGCAGCAGTATTTCAAAACTTCACATGAAGTTACTTTCTAGTTAGTCTAATAGGTAGCTGTACTCAAAGGGAAGATTAGTTCCATTATTAAAGATAAATAAGATTCAAGACAAGAAGAGCCTAGGAGATGTGGTTCAGAGGAAACTGAAGTCTTCTGTCAATACTTGTTAGTCAGCTAGTGCTAAGTGCTAAGGGGAGAAAAAATTTGTCAAGTACAATAGTAGCTATCAATATCATATATATTGAGCCAAGCACATACCAACATCATCCTTTCCCCTTAAAGAATATGCTTTATGTTATACTATATTATGTTATATTATGAGTCAAGCACATAACAACATCATCTTTTCCCCTTACAGAGTACTCTTTACTTTTATGCTTCATAATACAGAACACAGACTCTTTCCCTATACCAAATAGCTAGCAATAGATGTGAAAAAATAGCCCAAATATATTCTTGTTTCTGTCAATAAATCCTCTTGGGTTATAACAGAATTTCCTTTGGAAACAGAGCAAATAGGTCAGTACCAATTAAAAGCTGGAACACACACTGGCAGAAAATAAACAGATAAGCATCCCTTTCTCTTACATGAAAACTCACCAGGGTTCCTCCTTCAGGTTCAGTAATAGAACAGACTATCTGAGAGGGAAACTGCTTTGTCTTTCTGTTTGGAGATAACAGGTATTTTTATGCTTTAAATCATATTAAAACATGACTATCTAGATCTTAAAATGTTGG